TACTGCAGATCTTTGTTGATTTCACGCTTCTTTTAGCAGTTGTCTGGTTTTCGGCTGGTTTTGGTGCCTCCTGCGCTGGGATGGTCCCCTTCTATCAGCCTTCTGTTCCTCTTCAAGGATATATTCATTATCAAGGCATGTATTGTTTATACAAAGTATCCTGTTTCACAAGACAGTATACACCTACCCCGCTTCCCAGGGATGCTCCCAAGAACTGTCCCTGTCCTACCCTGAAATAAGGTCTCTGTAAAAGCATGCACCCATACTGCGCCCAGCTATCTTTGCAGGCAGAGACCCCCAGCAGTGCCCCCAACTTGGGGCAGGGAGGAAAAACAGCCAGCAGGCCCAGGCACCACTGGGAGTTCAACCCAGGACCTCCTGTTTACTAAGCATGTGGTTTAACCTGCTGAGCCGTGGCACTCACTTGCATTAAAGCACGGGTTGCCCCACAGCCATGTGTTGAGCAATGGCCATGACCCCTGCCCATCCCCTGTCCCCATCCTGCATCCACCTTGATACCAGGGTCACCCTGCAGGACCAATAGGCCTGGGCACAGGGTTGGGACCCTGAGGATAGGGGACAGTCCTGTGTGTCATGCTAAGCTCAAAACCCCAGTGATTCTCCCCAGGGTGTCCCTGGGGAATAAAAGTTGACAGACAGGTCCCAAATGAACTCTGTGCTGGCTGGGCGGGAGTGGGGCAGTGGGTGTCCAAAAGGAGGGCTCATCTGGGAGTTGAACCCAGGACGTCTCGCACCCTATGCGAGAATCATTCCCCTACACCAACAAGCCACAGTGTACAGCCATCTGGGCACCCCCGTCCTGTGCCAGGCACTGGGGTGCTGGGGACCCCAGGTGCCACTTTTGGGAGAGGGGCCCTGCCACCAGGTTCTGGGGAGCAGACCAGGGCTGAATGTGTGTGCAGGGATGTACTGCCACCCCAGAGACTTTACTACTTCCCAGGAATACGGGATACCCAAGGGAGACCAAGGGGTGCCCTGGGTGGGGGGCAGGTGTGCCCTCCCCCCATATGCCAAGGCCTGAGGCTGTGATGGCTGGGGAGTGAGGTGTTGGACTCAAAATCCAATAAGGTTTTTCTGTGCAGGTTCGAATCCTGCTCGTGGCAAAAGATTTTACCCACTGCTATGTAAGCCAGCTTGGGCCTGGGGGGAGTAGGGGCAGGAAAAGACTGCAGTCCATGGCAGCTCCGACCCTGCAACTCATGTCCTCCCTGGGAAGCAGCTCCTGCACCAGGAAACCTGCTACCTGGCAGACCTGGGAGACTGAAGTAATATAGGGTAGGAGCCATGGACCACTTGCCCTGGGGCAATGTGAAATCCTCCCCTGTGAGATGGGACCACAGAGAAAAGCTGGGAACCCACAGCACAGCCATGGGGTATCAATTGTGAATTTATCTGCAGTTGCTTTTACCAGTGGGTGTGGACCCACACCAAGCCCAAGTCTGGGAGGCCAAAGGGGACAGTTGGGGAGCCCAATGCAGCTTGGGGTACAGGCCCACTTTCAGGTTTGAGAGAACCTGGGTCCAACTCCCAGAGGAGTCCTCCCTTTGGGCAAAGCCTGCCATGCTTTTGTCTGGGGAGTACAGAGCTCATTTGAGGTCAGCTGTTGACTTTCATCTCGTTCCCCCTGACAGTCACCGCAGCTTTGGGCTGGGCAGGGCAAATAGGGCAGCTCCTTCTCTCAGGGGTTCTGGCATGTGATGGGCGCACACACTGAGCACAACTGCTGTCCCCCGAGTCCTGGGCCAGCCATGCCCACAGGCAGCCCCAGGGCTTTTCTGTGGGGCCTGGGGGGATCTGCCAGCCCTGCAGCCAGCAGGGAGGCCGCTTTGAGGAGGCAAAAATACATGGAGATGCTGGGTGTTGAACCCAGGGCCTTTTACGTGCAAATCAAGTACTCTCCCACTGAGTGACATTCCCCATGCATGGGCAGGATGGTGCCCAGGGGTCCCTGCTGATCCCTGTGAGAAATAGAACTCAGGAATTGTTTTGCTTCAGCCATTTTGTGTGTTGACGGCATGGGCAGGGTTATGACCTGCCCTTTAGAACAGCCATTTTGTGTATTGACAGCACAAGAGAAAAACAACTCCTTAAAAGGAGAACTAGCTTACGATAGGCTAACCTGTCATGAAAGAATGTGTGCCCTGAAGTACCTGACCAATGGGAAAAGGGGACAGGACATAAATACTGGAAATTTTGTAACTAGGTGTGCTCTTTTTGAGAGGCACCTGAGTCAGCTGTTCTGTTTATTTTGATCCAGAATAAACTTTTATCTTTGCTTCGAAGACTTTGTCCTCTCTACATTTTTATCCGTAAGCGAGCATTTCTCACATCCCCATGGTCCAGCTGTCCCCATGGCCACTGGGGCCAGGGCAGTTATGTGCTGTGGCCACCTCTGAACATTGGCCCCACATCCTGGGCACAATAAGGTTGACTTACCTGCTCCAGGCTGTGCCAGGGGAAAAAGCAGCATCAATCACCCTCACCAACCCCCAAAACTGTGGGGCACAGATGCTGGGCGTGCAGTGAGATGCAGTACCCTGGCTTGTTGGTCTAGGGGTATGATTCTCTCTTTGGGTATGAGAGGTCCCGGGTTCAACTCCTGGTTGAGCCCTCCTTTTGGACACCCACCTTCCTCGGCTGGCGCATGGGACGGTGGTATTATCAGGGTGGGATGAGGGCAGTGGTGCCTGGCACAGAGGGATCAGTGCCACGTCCTGGCTGGGCACATCCTGTGAGCAGGATGGACCCCCAGGAGCCAGCAGTGCATGCCCCAAGGTTCTGTTTCTGGGACCAGTCTTTGGGGAAGAGCAGGATGAGTGGTGGGCAGTGGGATGGGGTGGGAGGGGAGGGAAGGGGACTCGCTGTTGCATTAAGAGTCTGATATGTGGGTGAGGGAAGCCCTCCCATTGAGTCACAAGGTTTGGAAAGGACCCCCGTGCTTTCTGAACTACTTCTCAGAGAGGAGTCTAGGTGCAGGTAGGTCCAGTCTTTGTCCCAGACTTGGTCAATGTTTTATGTCTAAAGAATTATGTATGTTAGCCACTTAGAGTCAATATTTGTCTGTTTCAGAGCCCTGCCAAGGATTTTCACTGAGGCAATTTCACAAAGTTGAAAAGCTAAATGATTTATTAAGGTGACAGATATAACAAATTTGGAATTGCTATTGATAAATACACTTACTGCTGAAATTGAGCTTGAGTTAATAGTCCAGTGCTTTTGTTAACAATATTTTCCCAGGTAACATCTGACATAGTTGGAGGTGTGAATCTTACCAGAGAGGTATCCCTGTTTGGGGAGGGGAGAGGTCCAGACCCATCCAGAAGCTGGAACTCTCACCCTCAAAAGGAAGGATTCTAAATGCCATATTTATACTTTTGGCGAGGCGGGACTTGGTCTTTTATCATGTGCCAATTAACTCTTAACAAGGCTTGTGTTCAGTAGAGATGCACAATTGCTCTCCCAGCTTTACTGAAATAACATCAGGCTGTGGGGCCTTCACCTCACCCCAGGTGTCACTCAGTTGATTCGAGTCATCTATCCTGGTCTTTGCAAGAAAAGCAAGATATGCAGCTCTCACTCCATTGCTGGTGCTTACCAGTGCAAGATAAGCATGTTGCTTAACTTCTCTGGTTGGATTCACAATGACTCTGTATTCTGAGACTGACAAGCCTGGCAATTTCCCACACTTGCCCAGCTCCCACCACTGTATACACACAGGGGATGTAGCTAAGCGGGAGAGCACTTGCTTTGCATGTAAGAGGCCCTGGGTTCAACCCCCAGCATCTCCATAGTTTTTTACCCCCTGAAACCCATTGTCTCCCAGGGCATTGCTGGAGGACACTTCCCTTTGGTGCCTGCCCTTTGGCAAGGCTCTCTACTGCACCTGGATTTTTTCACAGTCATGGGTTAATACCCCCGGATGTTCCCTTTTTCCAACCCTGGCATGTGTGGATACTGGGGCTGCCAAGAGGTACTCAGACTGGGCAGATAGCCCTACACCAGGCTGGGGCAGATTTTCTCCCCAGACACAGACCCCGGGGCAAACATGGGGTGTCCCCACCTAGCTGTGACATGTGAGGGGCTGTGATGGCCGAGGGGTGAAGGCGTTGGACTTGAAATCCAATAGGGTTTCCCTGCGCAGGTTCGAATCCTGCTCACAGCGTGAGGTTTTACCCATGGCTTTGGGCCCGGGTGTGGGGGCCAGGGTAGAACCCTACGAGGGACGGAAAGTGCAGCAGGCCAGGTAGCTGCCACTGTCCTACACTGGGCACTGGCAGCCTGGTGGGACCCTGGGTTCAACTCCCAGCAGAGCTCTTCTTTTGGATGTGGATGGGGTGACAGTGCTCAGCACAGGGGGCATGGACAGCCGCAACAGCTTGGCCGTGTCCCCTCTGCTGGGACAGTCCTGCCACTGCTGGGAGCGAGGTGCTACTTGCTGCCCTGCGAGCAAAGAGACACAGCTCAGCCATGGCACTGCTGCCACCACATCCCTGGTGTGCAGCTCTGTCTGGGGGCCATGGTGCAGGGTGCATGCACAGGAACTCTCCTTTGTGGATGCCTTCCAGAGGTAGAAGTGGAGTTTATCACCACTGCGCCTTGGCTTGGAGGAAGCAGGCTTGAGGAGACAAAAACATGTGGAGATGCTGGGGATTGAACCCAGGGCCTCTTACATGCGAAGCAAGCGCTCTTCCACTGAGCTACATCCCCTCATGTAGGAAATTATTACACCAATTATTACACCCAAGGGTCCTGCTGCCTGCCCTGGCCCCAAAAGCCATGGGGCCCAAGAGGGCCAGGGCTGTTACAGCCCATGGCCATGTCCAGGTGCCAAGCCTGCAGCCAGGAGAGAATAAGGGGGACCTCCCAGCTATGAATATCCATCAACACCAAAATGAACTTCCCAAGGTGCCAGCCCAGCCCAAACAGTTCTCTGAGAACTGGAGCTCAAGGAGGGGGTTCCTGCCCTTTTACAGCACTGAGGCTCGTTGGTCTAGGGGTATGATTCTCACTTTGGGTGTGGGAGGTCCCGGGCTCAACTCCCGGACGAGCCCTCCTTTTAGTTTTGGACACTCGCCTTCCTCAGCTGGCGTGTGTGGTCTCAGCCCAACTGTGGGACCAGGGCCAGGGTGGTGGGAGGGCAATGGTACCTGGTGCAGCAGGGATGGGCAGTGTTGAGCATGGGCATGTCCCCATGGCCAGGATGGAGCCCATTAGAAGCACCAATGGGGATGGTAGAGTGCAGCCCCTGTCAGGCTGGTTTTGAGGCAGAGCAGTGTGAGCAGTGGGCAGTGGGGCAACGGTGGGGTGTGAGGGAACTTGCCTAAGCCCACACCCCTACCCATACACAAGGGAAGTACCTCAGTAGGAGAGCGCTTGCTTTGCACATAAGAAGCCATGGGTTCAACACCCAGCATCTCCATGTCCTTTTGCCTCCCCAGACCCCTTTCCTACCAGCTACAGGGCTGGACAAGCCCCCCAAGCCCCACAGAAAAGACCTGGGGTTATCTGCTGGCACAGCTGACATGGGGACCCTTTCTGGCACCTGCAGGCTGTGAGGAAATGCCCATGACCCTTTCCCTCCCCTTCATGGGTACTGTGGGGTGTGGGGGAACCTTGTTTCCCTTCCCAAGGGGGCTTGGGGCAAATGGTGTTGACCAGAGTTGCCGAGCTGTTGAGGCTTCCTGTCTGCTCTATGCAGGCCAGCATCACTCTGACCATACCCCATCCCTGAAAGGTTGTGCCCAGCAGTGGGTGACCAAAAGGAGGGCTCATCTGGGAGTTGAACCCAGAACCTCTTGCACCCTAAGCAACAATCATGCCTTTATACCAACGAGCCACAGTGTGTAGGGA